CTTCTTGCTACAGTATATTATGAATATTACCGTTTCCGCGTCCAGTGTTCCCAATCGTATTCAAACTTTCTGGTGGTGTTTAACATACCCTGAGATTATAATAATTTTACATGAAACACATTTTTTCCTTTTCGTAATAGCTCGTCTTCTTCCAGAACATGAAAGCATGTTTCTACAGGGGAGCGGACAGTGATGACAAACATTAATTAGTGACCCTCCTTCTAAAGAAAATTAATGTGTTATTTTAATGCTGTCAGTCATTAGAAGTGGGATGTAAAAAAAAAAATTAAATAAAAGAGAATTAAATTTAATTAAATTAATAAATAATAGATAAAACAGAGCGAATGGTGTATCACGTGACTATAAACGCATTTTTTTTCTTCGCAAAACTGAATCTGGCGCAAAGCTCAGTTGTACCATTGACGAGGGTGCTATGATCCTGGCCCTCCACCCTGCACACTGAAGACGTAAGGTCAACCCCCGCCAAACTGTGGGTTTCCCCGTCGTGTGTTGTAAAACTCGGCCAGGCAGAACTTCTAGCCTCGTAGGATCAAAGCCAGAGGACCCCCCTTTGTCAACCTACACAGCAGAGCATGGCGAAGAATCGAATTCGGAACCGATTTCCACGATTAATGCTACGAAAGAAAAGTTCCGACTCCTTTTTATGTAAACCAACGGTTACCAGTTATTTTAATCCTTAAAATCTTTTGTTTTTAAAATTTATTCAAAAAAATAAAAGTTGATGTTTCGTGGTGTTCCGAAATCAAGGTTGCCCTTAGAAAGTAAGTAATTGGGTTCGGAGTCGATTTCTATGATTCCTAGCTTTCAATAATCCGGAACCCAGCCGCCCAGCACTACTACGCAGGTTCAGTTTTGAAGTTCTTTGGCGTTTTGTTTCATGTTTTCTTTACTCTAGTATTTTGAAACTTTTTCTTCCCGGTTGTTACCCCCACATTTATTGAAGAGGCGGCATTAATTCGAAATTGGGAAATGGGTATGTCTGTTGACTCATCAGTCACATCGTAGAAATGTTTTTCTTGAAGATGTTCAATACACAGTGGAAGGGGTGGGGGG